CCACAGTGGTGAATGCTGCACCAACCAACACCCAATGTGCAGGAGTGTTTGAAGGGACTTTGGGGGCCCCCGGGCCAAAGGGACCCAGGGACCCCCCCCCCAAAAAAAAACAAACAAAAAAAACACATGACACCAAACTACATAACTCCAATCTTCACACAATTATTTTATTATCAAATTATAAACAAAATGCACTCACAAAAATAATAGCAAACATTTGAAATACTGTTGGGGTCAATGCATGATGCATTTAGACTTTTACACCCAGTATATGCAAACAGAAACAATAACACTCACTGCTCTCCTGAAATATGATTCATTACGTATTATGTTGTTATTTATATAAAAGCGACATTTCTCAATTTGCATTTTGAAATGTATCCGCAAAGAATAAAACATGACAAATCTTGACATATTTGGACCAGTTTATTTTTACCTCAGTCTCAAATATTGTGGCTTGCTGGTCTGTTTCAACAATCCTCACAACATATAGATGATATAATGTATTGATTATCTTATGATTGCTCATATGTCATGTCTGTAGAGTTTCAAATCAAAGCCAGTTTTTGCTGTAATAGTAAAGTAGAACCTGAGACATTTTACCAATTAACAGTCATATTGTAGTCTCATTCAATTAAGCTTTAGGTTTAATATATTGTTGTCCTGATGTTATAAAAACGTGGTAAGGAAGGAAGAAGTTGAATATTCTCAGCGGAGGCTCCAGAGCATCAGAAAAAGAGTGAGGAGATGGCTGAGGACACCAGCAGGAGGACAGCTCTGGGACCAGTGGGCACGGCAGCGTTACACAAGTCCGTGTCACAGCAAGATACGGGTTTCACACAGTTTGTAGTTTTTCGACAACCCTTATTCATGAAACCTGCAAAACACGATTGAAGAACTTCAGTTTAAACTCAAGAGACCCTGCATTCAGTCGAGTGACACATGAATACTTCAGGTTTTGTTTGTGCATCTTACCTTCCACTTTGGTGGAGAAACATTGGTCCAGGTTTGGAGGACAAGTTGTCATCCGATAGCAGGCATGATAATCAGCAGACACACATGTGTAGCATTGTAACCCACATGCTGGAAGTAGCAGAAATACAAAATACTGTCACACAAGGTTTAAGATACTATAATCTCATTTAAGGCCATTTTAATTTACAAAACATTATAAACAACATCTGTTTAAATAGCTTTTTAATGTTCCCACACATACTGGTTTCATCAAGACAATCACAAATGTGCTCTGCAACATCAGTCCCAAAAATGTTCCACTAAAAGAATGTGAAGAGAAAAATATTAGCACATCTATTTTAATCAAYTCCTTAAATCTCCTGCAACTCCTCTTTTTCAGGTTCAAAAAAACATTTACTTGTTACCGACCTTCATTTCTTTGCTTTTAAAGTCCAGCTGAAGCACAGCATGGTTAAATAAACACACACTCTTCTCACCTGTGGACAGAATCATAAACAGGATCAGAGCTGAACAAAGCTGCATCGTGAACAGGGAGAAAAACAGAACTTTTAATCGATTCTGTGAGGAGAGAGATCTGCAGAGGAGGTGTGAACTCCTCCCTTTTTATAGTCCCACTACTTGGTCTTCGTCCAGAACTTGCAGACTAGATTTCACCACAAAGAACCCAACCAAGAAACCTGAATAATCTCAGGCCCAAAGTGAGCTCATCATCCCAGAGACCCTCTGTGGATTGTTTACAGTTACAGTATAAATTAGAAATTGCTGAGGATATACTGCATCATATTTTGTAACAGATCATTTCTTTTGTGCTAAATAAAATAATTTATTGATCTGAGTATCAATATTATAATAGTTTTCTTCAAATAAACACAAAAAAGTTACATARGACATTTCCCACTCAGCGTTTTGTTTTTATACAAATAAAGTTATAACACATAACTAATATGGAATTTTTATTTTTAAATATTTTTAGTCTCACAGTAGTTTTCCTATTTTCTCTCAAGTCTGCCTAGAAGACATCTGAGCAACTGTAATCTAAAATACTCATTAATTTCAATTATTCATATTACTTCACCTATTTTCTTCATGTAGTCAAAGCCATTGTAAGTGTGCTGTTTTATAAAGTTCTGTCTTTGGTGCCATCTTYTGAGCATCTGGTTGTAGTAAGTCAGATGTATGGGGCCATCATTTTAGTAGTAAGTAGTACTTCAAATCGGAATACATTTCTTAAGATATATTCTTCACACGTTTTCAAATCTATTTATCTATTCTAAATATTCTAAATACAGATCTGCAGATCCATGTACACATTCACAATTATACATACCACAGATAGACAGACAGCAACATCAAACCTTTTTAATTTTCAAATCTATTTATAAGTTTTAGCAATAATTGACCAGGACTTAAGTGTCTTTTCTTGTGTATATTCTTTATTGATTATAGGTACAACAATAACCCTCTTACAATATGTCTGCTTGTTTGTTCATCATCAGGTTCATCACATAAACATATGTATTATTTTCCAAATCAGGGTTCGTTAACAAAGCTGTTGTTTGCTGTAAAAATAAAAAAAGCAATACAAGTTTCATCCTGAGGAACATTGCTTGTTTTGAGGGAACACGATTAATTCAAAGCTTTTCAATATTGGAATGAATACATTTTTGAAAGGTTCACACTGAGTGAGAAAAAGAGAAGCATAGAAACCACAACATAATCTCAGCCGGAGCTTCAGAGGAACAGCGTGATGATGGCGGAGGGCACCAGCAGGAGAATGACGCTGGGAGCAATCAGTGCGGCGCTGTTACACAAGTCCCCCTTACAGCAATCCATGGCACCTCCACATACCATACTGGTTTGGCAGCCCTTGGTAACAATGTTGTATTCTGCAAGACATGATGGGAAAAAATCTGACATTTAGTACAGCCACATATGAAGTTCAAACATGAAGATCTACACAGTCCCAAATGCGTCCTTCCATCCCCGAGAAACAAAGGCTTCAACAGGTGAATCCTTCCTGGCCCAACCTATCCCAGGATTCATTGTGCTTCAGCGACGAATGTTTTTTCAACGAGGTAATGGCGCCTGCAAGTGACGAGACATCCAACATCCGATGATTGAGTATCACGCTCAACCAAACAGCTGATGGTTCACATGTGGGGCATTTACACCAAGGGGCATTAAATCTTTCTGCTTGTGTCCAAGTTCAGCCTGTGATGCCGATCAAAGCCTCTGTAGACCAGACTGCCTCATTTCAGTTCGGCCTTCTCCTTCTACGTGGCCCACGAAGGAGGTGGTCTTCGTGGGCCAGTTAGATCACAACCTCCGAAGGATTCAGCCCCTGAATTGAGACAGAGCTCATCTGTACATTTAAGTCTAGACTTCAATGTTCCTTTTGGATTAAGTTTACAGTTAGTGCTGGATCAGATGGACCCTGAACCATTTCTTAATTATGTTGTTTTAGGTCCAGACTGCTACAGGAACTCCCATCATGCACTGAGCACCCCACCCGGTCGAGGCAGATGGCAATCTGGTCCTACCAAAGGTTTCTTCRTATTTTCTCTCCACATTCGCTCAAGATTCCTCTTTGTGGGAACTGTTTCTTTTCAATATTTTCTGGTCTAGAGCAGACAACACAAATTCCATCAAGATAAAGTTTGACTTTGCTGTGTGTTTGGAGTTCACACTTCTGGCTGCAGAAACRTCTGTTGTGACAGAACAACTRACRGTCTACTTTTAGAGAGAAACAGCGGTTGAAGATGACGGGACAAGCTTTGGTGTCTGTGCAGGATTTAGGCTTGGTGGCTGTGCAGGTGTAGCATCTTAGTCCGCATGCTYCAGAGACAGAACAAACAATCACAGTCTCATCAGTGTTTGCTCCACAGTGGTCACAGAGTTTCTCTTCAGTTGTTGATGTTATGCATTTTTTAGTAAGAGAATGTGAAAGTGAAGACATCTGAGTGCCCATGCACTGAAGGGTAGAAAGGAAACAAAACTTCAGTGTGAGTGCTTTCAAATGCTGTCTTAAGTATTAAGTTTATATTGTGACAGAGTTAGAGTACCTAACTCTGTCACAATAGAACAAATAAACATTATATCGTCGACATTTCTTTTTAATTAAAGGTAAATAAGGAATAATATCTTTGCTTAATAGTTCTCATAAGACTGGGAAATAAGAATGAGTCAGTGAGTTCTAAATCACTGCTTTTAAATAAAAAAAGGTCCAACCTCATCGTCTGTATGGGTAATTTGTCCGTCTCTGTTGAACTTTAACGACATCCTTTAAACATCAACACATGTCTTTGAGTTAAAATGRCAAATACATAAGTTTACCTCAGCTCTTACCTGTGGATAGAGTCATAAACAGGACCAGTGCTCCAAACAGCTGCATCGTGAATGTAAAGAGAGACAGATTGTTGTTTGAAACTGTGTGGAAGTCTTTCGTCTTTCAGCTCAACGTTTCGGTCCTGTCTCCACCAGGAAATAAGAGATTTGCATTTCCTCATAAAGCCTCCTGCAAAGGGACCTGAATAAGGGCAGCTCTAAAGTGACATCATTATCCCKCAGACAACCATGATTAACACTTTGTAGATACTGAAACTTGAGAARTTGAGAAAAAAAAGAATGAATTTTGTGAGAATGGTGATAACAGGAAAGCCACTTTCACTTCCTGCTAGAAATAAGAAGCAGAAACAGAGAGGACTCATGACTCGCTCAGCTTGTTTAATGGTATGGTCAAGAAAGTGAGGTTTGAAGGCGACGTTGTTAAATGTGTTATTATTATTCAGTGTGACTGTGACTTCTAGCTTGTCCAATTCACTGTTCACTGAACTCTTTTACTTGTTTTGGTTTTCATTTAAAAAAAATCTTTAAATATCAAAATCCAGTCCCATCAAATTTGCAGCYAAATAAATCTTGGGGTTTTTACAATAAAAATATATGAAGTTAATCTCTGTTTAATAAAATCTGACAAAACATGTACATGAGTGGGTGTTTTTTCAGTAAAGAGTGAAACAAAAACCTCTGAGGGGTAAAAGTTTTGTGAGATGTTTTTTTAATGAATAACTCTGGAATTATTGCATGTAGATTTTTTGTAGTAATTAATTGAATACAAATTATTACAAATATTCATTAAACAATGACTCTTTTCTTCTTCTTTTTCGTGTTAGAGGAGTTTTTTTTTAAATGGTGCACTACATGTTCAGAGATGCTTTTCTCAAAACTAAATGCTTTGACACTTACAAAGACAGGAAGTCATGAGGTCAATTTAAAAACGAAAGTATGACAAGATTAAGCAATTACATGGTACATGGATTCCTCTTATAACAACTGTTAACATAATATAGAAACAACTTTTTACTGTTTATTTTCATTGTGTAATTGTGTAAAAATTTAAATTACTCTACTTTCTATCATCTTATTTTATTTTTACTACTGATATTCTGATGTAGTGCGTGTTGCTGTCTTCTTGTTGTACCGAATACTTTGTGTATCACTTTGGTCAACCAAGTTGTTTTAAATGTGCTATAAAAATAAAACTGACATTGACATTGACTTTCATAACTAACATTAACCTGAAAGAGGTTGTCTGTTACCATGTAAAGCCAGAAGAGGGCGCCCTTGAATATCTGCTAAATTTATCATTCTGTACATGAATTTCTGTCTTCATAAAATGTCCTTGAATCAATATTAAAATCATTACATTTCCTACACAACAAAAAGAAATGTTTTCCCTGAAACCATTTACTAATCTTCTTTCCTTATATTTGCATCCCTGCTTCTCTATTTGTTTTTGGAGATAGTTATTATGACTGTTATTTCACCAAAAACTGTGTTTGTTTTTTTCAAATTTTTGATAATCTTGTTCCTCTAATTTCCCTTATTTGTGTAAAATGTGAAAATGTTTATTGCTATACCCCTCTGTTGTTGTTTTTCCTTTTTTAACTCTTGTTTTTCTGCCTCAGGTCCAGTGTGTAAGATTTAGGTGAAAGGAAACTATCGGCAGATATTTAATGTAGAATAATCCTCATGATGTTTTCACTAGTTTGTTTCATCTAAATTGTATGAAGTGTAGTTTTCTGTGTAAATAACAGCAAAGGACACTCCTACAACATCAATCTAGACTCTTACAACACATAGGAGGGAGGGTGCAAGGTGCACTGTAGGGTTGGAGAATAAACACAGAAAGTAATAAAGTAATTGATTGTAGATAATGATTGAAAAGTGGCTGTTAATCATATAAGTAGCTTATAAACAGTGTATATATAGCACACAGGTAGAGATAAAGAAGCTAATCTGAGATATATTGTTATCAGCGGTGTTTGGTGTGAAGGGTTTATTCCAACACTTTTATCTACTACACCCACCAATGCAGATTACGTTTTAATACTTATTAATAGGGCTACTTATTAATAAATGTGAGTGTAAACCCTGGGTCTTTACCTTGAGCCGAACCTCCCCAGCTTTAGGTGGCGCCACCTCCACCTCCTCCATCACGAGAGGTTTCCCAGCCTCCCATGCTACCGCAGCTCTGCACCGGATCACCTACAACACAACACAACATCTAAGGGCATCAGCTGGTCTGGTATCTGTCATCGCAACAAATCACTGCACACTTCGCCCACTCACTGCACCACAGGAAGTCGTCCAATTAAATGGGTGAAGGAGGATAAAACACAGCTGGCTTCCTTTGGACGACAGACAAACAGGATATTGGACTGACTATCAGTTTTTCTACTCTGTTCTTTCCCACATTCTGACTATAACTGAACCTTACAGAACTTTCAGAGAGACTTTGACTCATTGTGTGGAAATGTTGCAACGACACACAAACCTTTTCAATGGCATTGTCTTTGTTTGCAGATAGTGAAAGAGTGCAGCAGAGGGTCTGTTCAGATTCAGAGCCACCCTCCATGTCCGTCTACTGTAAACAATCCCTCTGCTCCATAAACATGACACTGAGCCGTGGAAATCCCGGAAGGGTTTTTTATGTTGACTGACTTGAATCTATTCCAACACTTACTGAAGTTCACTGAGCAGATATATGTGAGGAGAAGTCAACATGCTTACCTTCCCTGCTGTTGCCATGCTGTTTCATGAGCTGAGCCTCGCCCCCAGGCTGAGTTGTGGATCTTATCAGTGTGTGGACCAATCACAAAGCATGTCCGGATCTTTACACAATGTCCGTTTCCTTCCTTATATAAGATATGAGATTTCTTTCTCTATTGTTGCAAATTAAAATACAAGACTGTGTCACTTGGTTTGAAAGGTTGAAATTCTGGGATTTAAGATGTGGANACACACACACACACACACACACACACACACACACACACACACACACACACACACACACACACACACACACACACACACACACAGATTTGCTGGTGACTTATTTTAACCTTAACCTCAGTAACTACTTGTCTAATCTTAACCTGGAAACACGTCTTCTACTTATAATGTAATGAATTATAACCTGTGGAGTTTCTCTTTGTCCCTATTAGGAAGATCAGACTTTGTTAACAGATATAAGTCCCCACACACACACTCTCACACACACTCCTGAGCTCCTTACCTAAACCTAATCCAACCCAAAAGTGTTTCATAACAGAGTTAATACTCAAACAGACTCACAGTGAGGACCAGCTTCTGAAGGTCTGAAGTGAAAAGGCTCCTCACACACGCTCAGATCAGACGTTTAACCTCAGCTGCTCTCGTCCTGCAGCAGAAACTCTCTTCTGATGAAGACTTTGGTTTGCCAAGGAAACGGGCCAAGCTTTCTCCACATGATCAGCAGGAGGAGCCTGCACCCTGTGAGAAAGGTGAGGAGGTGCATCTCTAACGTGAAGACAGCAGCATCTTTCACTGGGGCCAGACTGCAGCTGGACGACTGGTCCAACCCCACAGAAGATCTACGACCTGGGCCTCTCTGTGTGGGGTTTGCATGCGGCTCACATCCAGAGACACGCAGCTGTGTTCCATGTACTAATACAAGAACGTATTAGTATGTTACCGCAAATCCACCCATTGCTTCTCAGCGCTCACGTCCAAACAACAAACATTATTGTTTAATCCTTCTGGTAAAGTTTCCCTAAAACTTGTGGAGCTTTGAAACAATGTTACTCTGACAAACTACAGAGGAAGTGCAACCACATGAAAATGATGTGTAAGACTCTCTCTCTTCTCTTCAGGGACGAAGCTAACACAGAGTCGAGGAGCAGGCGGCCTCTGCTCCTCCACCCTGGAGAAGCTGAAAGGCTTCACCTGGGTGACTGAGCCCAGTGACACTCAGAGGGAGGAAAAGAAGACTGACAGTGCTGGCAGTAAAATCTGTGATCAAGGAAGCAGCGTCAGGCCTCATGTGGACGTGCAGCATCCGCACAGCAGTAAACACACACTTCTAAACACGGAGGAGGAGCGTGAGGACGGAGCGGAGGATGAAGAGGGGGATGAAGAGGATAGACGGGAGGGGAGCTCAGGGCTGGCTGCAGCAAAACAGGTATTGATCAAATTTGACTGCATCGTATCATATCAGCTTTGAGCATCAGGTTGACAGAAGGATGAAGGTTGGAGTCCATGATGGAAAGCATGTGCTACAAAGGTGATGCTACTCTTGGTCCATGAGCAAGGCAGCACCATAGGAGGCCAATATCCCAATATTGATGTAATGATAAAGTGTTAACTGATGAAGCTGAGTTGTGACACAAACAAACACAGTGTGATCGTGTGTTAACTGGCGTTCGCTGTGTTCTTAAAGCAACACGAGCAGCTGCTGCTCTTCTGGTTCAGGAAGCCGGGCATCATGGGTAATATTCACTGTTCAGTCCAGTGAGCTCAGTTTGTTTTTCCTCTACATGAAAACCACTTTATCTCTTATACACAAAGCTCAACAGAATGACAAACACATGGCTGCAGAGGGAGCGACGGCTCAGTAAAAGTCACATACTGTTGCTTTAAGTCTCAAATATTATAATAGAAATAATAAATAACAATAAATATAACAATAAAACCTGATTCATCATCTTGGTCCAATTGATTGGTTGAGTTTTCTTGAGTAGCGCAGTCTATAGCGACTTGGCTTGGGAACTGGAGGGTGGCCGGTTCAAGTCGAACATGGTCAGAAGTTGGAGAGGGGCTAGTTCACCTCCTGGGCACCGAGGTGCCCTTGAGCAAGGCACCGAACCCCCCAATTGCTCCCCGGTTTGCCATGTTGCATGCTGGGTGTGGGACCAAAAATAGGAATCTTAAATTTATTTACTGTGACACTGTAACAAATAATTCCAGGAATCTCTGTTAAAAACGTTTGTGTATTGCTGACTATTGATTTTGAAATGCTATTGCAGGGTGCCCTCCTCTCTCAGTTTACAAATCCAGGAAGAGGAGGAAGAGGAGGAGGAAGAGGAGGAAGAGAAGGAAAGGGTGCAGACCTAAGTCCGCCGTCACACTCTAGCGCCCCCTCCAGGTGCTCAAAAAGCGCCTACACTCCGCTGGAGCAGCAGGTCACGGAGCTGAAGGAGCAACATAAGGACGCCTTGTTGGCTGTGGAGTGTGGTTACAAGTACAGGTTCTTTGGAGAGGACGCAGAGGTGAGGAGTTTAACCTTTCAAGAAGGAAACTGACAGTATGGATTTAAAATATATTACCGTGTAAAAGTAATTTCATAATGATATTATCTTTGTAATTGCTGACTTCTAACTGTCCTCTGTCTGTAATACGTGTGCGCGTGTGTGTGCGTGCGTGCGTGCGTGCGTGCGTGTGCACACAGATTGCTGCAAAGGAGCTGAACATCTTCTGTCATCTGGATCATAACTTCATGACGTGCAGCATCCCCACACACCGACTCTTCGTCCATGTCCGACGGTTGGTTTCCCACGGACACAAGGTAGAATATGTGACATGTTACAGAGTTTCACTTACCATTTCAGATTATATATATATATATATATATATGAATAAAACTTTCTGACCGAACTCCAAGAAAGACAGAGGGAGAGCATAGCATGTCATAAACAGCTGATATCATTGTATTTGAATGATGAACATATCAATAATCAATGTTTTAGAAAAAAAGTTTTACAGTATCATCAAAACTGGTATATTGTGACACCATACTTAATATTTAGAAGTTGTTAAATGTGACATTGTTTCCGCTCCCTCGTCTCTAACTTCCAGGTGGGAGTGGTTAAGCAGACGGAGACGTCTGCCATGAAGGCCTTGGGAGCCAATAAGAACGCTCTGTTCACTCGTCAGCTCACTGCTCTGTACACAAAGTCCACTCTGGTGGGAGAGGGTATCCTGACAGAATATGAATATGACTTCAGAACAGCCTTTTTTCCAGCTCTTTGTCCGAAGCTGTGTCCTTGACATGTTATTAAGATGTGAACCCGCTCTGCAGACGGGGGGAGGTGGAGGAGGGGGCCTGTGAGGACGGGCTGCTGGACCCCCCCGACAGCTTCCTCCTGTGCATCAGTGAGAACTGGGACAAACTGAAGAAGCAGCTCACTGTCGGGCTGGTGGTGAGTATGAGGGGTTCAGAACTACTGAGCTTGTTCGTCAAAAACATTAAGGGTTTGTGTCTTGATCTTGTAGTTGACTTCAGTAATGTATATATATATATGATATTGAAACATAGAAAAATCATTGACTTAGTCACTTTTTGATTCTGTTAATTTCAGTCTACGTCTAGGTTTTTATTTCACAGCCAAAACTAGAAAATCCCACCTGGTTATTTTATACATAAAAGGTTTTTAGGATTATTTAAATTTGTTTTATTATATATATATTTAATGAAATCACAAAATTAAAAAAGTATCCTAACTAGCCCTGATATGGAGTAAATGTATATAATAAGTTACCTACAGTGAAAAAAATCCTCTATCATTTTTAGTTTTTTTTAAGTGCGTCTTTTCATTTAAAAACACTTGAGTCTTTATTATAAGCAATGTAAAGGAATTATTTCATAGAAACATGATATTACTCCTGAAATTCAGGCCGAGTGTACGATCACCACAGTGAAAAAAGAATGGTTCTCTCCACAGGATATGTATCGTTATTCCCTGTTCATGCTTGTGTTTGTGTGTGCAGGCAGTTCAGCCCGGCACAGGAGACGTGTTACTGGACTGTTTCCCTGACGGTCAGTCTCGCTCCGAGCTGGAGGCTCGAATCTTAAAGATCAACCCTGTGGAGATCCTTGTGCCCTCTGACCTCTCCGAACAAACACACAGACTCCTACACAGCATCACCAATGCCAGGTAATCTGCTGCCAGGACACCAAGGGGCAGTATTTAGTCATTTCCTACAGGACTGTATATTCTCACTGAAGTATCTGTGTGTTTGTGAGATTAGAGGGATTGTGTTTAGATTTCCTCTTTCAGGACAGACAGTGTTTTATGTGAAGGAAATCAAAGCAGGTTCATGTAACAACCCTCAGCTTCTTGGTTACCACTGCAGAGATGAACAGGGTCCAACCAGGGTCCAGCTAATGCTCATATAATTAAATCATTATTTACAAGAAGATATTTTTTACATTTTTTAAAAGAGTCATGAGTCAAAGAAATAAAGTTTGTTACTGTTTTTTCAATCTGCAGCTTTAAAGTCAGGTTTAAACAATGATAAATCTGTTTGGCTAATTTTACATCACATATAGGTGGATGCTGCAATTGAGAGAAATGTTGGAATAATGATTATTCAGACTTATAGTATCAATATCATCATGTAAAAACACTAAAATACATTTATCGGTCTCTGCCAGGTCTCTGTTGTAAAATCAGAAGGAGCACATTTTGTCCATTGTTCATCGATGGACAAACAGCGCAGCCAGTGACAGTAACACTGAACTGCTGCGTAACAGAAACCTGTTGCCTCCCATCCGTCCTCCGTGTCGCTCGTCCTTTCCTCTGCACCCATGTTCATACCAGTGGAGACGGGTTCCTCCAGAGGCTGCGTGTGATTGCATTACACTGTGAAAATGAAACGAGGGAGTGGATTAGATTAGGAGGGGAAGGTTGGATAAACAGGACGGATGTCTGCCGCGTTCTCTCCTCGATGGTGCATATAATAATTAAAGTGGCAATTTTCTTTGATTTTCTATCTCAGTCTGGATTTAATTCTGGAAATTTGAGGTGATTTGTATTCATTCCTCTCTTTCTTTGTCTCTGCCCCTCCTCCTTTTTTTTTTTTCAGCCGTCGTGTTTTGTGATTATAGTGGAGATGGGCCTGCAAAGGCCAGTCCAATTATATTGCGTGAACAGCCCTGTTCTCTAAAGTTGTTCTATCAGAGACAAGAATCTTATCTGTTACATGGCCTGTATCATACAAAGGCAGCTTTGTCTGTTCAGCTCAGACAGAAGATTTATCACATTTCCATTCACACACACACAATGCTCGGCTAAGTGCGGCCATTTACAGATCACTACCAATGTCCTCCTCCCAGGACAATTTTCAAGGTGATTCGTTTTTTTTCCTCATCTTGATTCATCAGAGGGAGAATGAAGAAGTGCTGATGAGTATCGGCTTTGACTCTAACAAACGTTACACTGACTTAAAGAGGTGACGTTATTTTTGTGGTTGCTGACGTTAACTCGACAGCCTCCGTGTCTCTGAGGTGGTCTGATGAGACGGGCCCCCAGGCAACAGGGTGCTCTGTACGTGTGTCCTTGGTAATGAGTCCCTGGGAGGTTGCTGGTCGCTTGGTGAAGTGTTGCTTTACTCATCCTCAGCCTGGTGTCAGGATCAGAGCAATGAAGGGGATCACAGTGACTGAAAAGCTCGACACAGATGTTCTCGCTTTGTGGCGTTTCCAAAGGTTTTAAGTCAGTGAATGGAACCCTGAAAGTTCCTGAGTACATCAGTCATGCATCAGGATGAATCCCCCCACACACACACCAGAAGTAATAACTTCACAAAGAGCCTTAATCTGTTGTGCACACCGACCTTTGATATAAACCTTTTGCCATTTTTACTTGTGAATGACCATCACAGTGTTGAAGACACACAAGAGATGACTCAGAGTATTGAAAATGGTATTTGAGGGTCTCTGTAACATCCATGATTTTACTTTGTGCATTTATATAAAAAATACAGACATTCATGGTTCCCAAAAATGGATCCTTTGATGAGTTCACTTTTCATGGGTAAACATTTATATAATATATAATACATATAAGAACTACAAATCAATGGTTCCCAGTGGCAGAATTCTAAGCACTTTGTTCCTTGCTTCAGTGTTTTCTCAAGTGCCATCCTTGAAATTACATTTTTAATTTGTCCAATTGTCTGAATTATGACCTGCATGAACCTGCAAAATGAATAAACTCCCATCAGCCTCAGCTGCATAATGCTCTGTCAAGTAGGTTATGTTTCATTATCAGGATTACGCAAAAACTTCTCAGCCGATTTTCAAGGACAGGAGACACGATAGCCCTAGGAGGAACCTCTTAAATGTAGTTGCGGATCCAGAATTTATTCACATTCTAGAAGGGTGATCAGTGATACTTCCAGCAAGGCAAGAGAAAATAAGAATCTGCCAGTTTATCCGGGTTCTTCCTTGAGTCCTTCTGCAACCCTCCACAAAATATCCTGGAAATTCGTTCTGTAAATTTTGAGTAATCCTGCTGATGGTCAGATACATTTTTCAACTGGACTTCTGGGCAGAACTGAAACCTCTGGTCAGCCGTTGAATCAGCATCTATCGTTGTAGTTTCCTGGAAAACCTCGGCCTGACACTTCATAAACCCAGCTTCATAAACGCTGCTTCCTGTCAGAGTGTAGAAACGCTACACGCTGCATCCCTCTGTCCCTCGATCGATACCAGCAATCGTCAATGTTCTTGTAAACCTCATAATATGGTTGAGTTAACGGGTTAAATGATTAATGGTTGTAGTTGCACTGCAAGCTGGCACAATATGTGGTCTATTGATCACACAATCTTTATTTCCGATCCGACAAGTGGCTGAAGATGGTGTGTGTGTGTGTGTGTGTGTGTGTGTGTGTGTGTG